GCGTCGGGCCCTGCGCGACGGTGAAAATGAAGTGGCTGTACGTGCATTAATAACTGCACAATAGAAATTCGAACGCAGCGCACAGGCACAGTGGGTATGCGAAAAATGCCTCGCGCGCGCATAAATATAATGCTCTCTCTCTCGCGTCTCTCTATATTTATGCTGCTGCTGCTGCAGCCCCAGATATATATGGTACATACGTACGTACATGGCTGTATAGGTCGGGCGAATTAAAATCAAACACGTTTCGAAACTGCTTGTCCTCGTCGCCCGTAAAGCTTCAAATAAGAAACGATTGAGAACTTGAAACAACTGCGATGCCTTTTCTTATGTACGGGTTACACTGCACGCACACTTGCACACACATAAACGTGTATTATTTTATCGCGTTGTTATTAGCTCGAGTCTCTCTCGATCGAGCGCCGAGCGATTTAGCAAGTCAATTAAATGATTTTAACGAGCGAAATTTGCATATCAAAATGTGCAATGTCCGCGCGTGTAGCGTTGCGTTTTGTTGGGCCGCACCACCGCCTCAACTCTCATGCCAAATTAGAGCGATTATTGCGTGTACGTCGAATTCGCGGGTTGGTAAGCACGATTGCCGACTTTTTTTACACACAAGTTGCGTGCACTGCGCATAAGCTAATTTTTAATACGACATTGTGTTTGTCTACTTTGAAATCCAAGCGAGTAAAATAATTCAGGAGCTCGTTCATGTACAATTAATTCATGTACTAGCAAGAATGACTAATTACAACTTGGAAGCAAAAAAAAAAACTTGAAGCATTACAGCTTTATCAACCGTCAGAATCTCTCAATCGCTCGCCGAGATAGGGTATATATATACCTCCTGCAACGCGAAACTGCCGAGTATTACTTAATCCTCTCAAGAATTTGCCGCCGATAAAATTCTCATCAGTATTATTGAATTCATAATTTAGAGCTCGAGAAGCGTTCGCCATCGCGCGCAGGCAGATATCGCATCGCGTGGATGGGTGCGGGTATATAGGCACCGGTATATTATTAAGATCCTCGTCGAATGACTTGTAATGGAATCACGATTTCTGAAGATTATTCACAAGGGAATGCTGCTGCTGCTGCGCCTTGCAGTTTTTCATCTTTTTCGGTGAAGGTGGTGGCTCGTGCTGCTACACACGGTGTGCGGTGATACCGTCGGGAAACGTCGAGGCAGCGTAGCAGTTCAGCAGTCGGTTTGTCGCTACCGCGCACGTAGTACAAGATATTATATCTATTTCTTGTCAACGCGGCAATTTTATCCCGCGAGAAATGCGAATAATTACTGCGACGGGTATAATAATATCGGTAGAGTAAGAGGATTATAACGTGCGCGAGCGGGGATGATTGGGCTTCGGGACTTATAATTGCTCCATCTAATTTATCCATTCCCTATTCATATATCTATAAAATTCGAATGAATTTCCTTTGTCCTCGAAAATTATCCATCGCTCTCGATCGGTCGTAAAATATACGAAGAGGATATATATGTGCATATAGGGTGTATATATACGGCGCGCGTCGCACGACGCCTAGCGAGCTTGCGTCCATGTTGGCTGCGTGCGTAGCCGGCTGCGTGGCGTACGGGCGCGAGCATCGATCCGCGCTCGGCTGCGTGCATTATTATATAGTAAAACGTAACACGAGAGAAAAGCTGCGGCATCCTCGGCGACGCGCGCGAAAAGAAAAGCTACGTTATTATATGCACGACGCACTATATATAAGACGCGACGACGATGGCGGAGGCAGCTACGTAGGCACGTGTCTCCGTGCGCCTATGTACGCGTACGATATTAATCCTCGCGGCGCACGAAAATCTTTTTCCCTGCCGTGCGTACGATTACGTAGAGCCCGCGCCCGGGCGGTTGCTTTTCTCTACGGCATCTCGTCGCTAGAGCGAGCTGCCACGAGTTTATATGTATAATGATGACAGCGTATATAATGTACCTATACACCGCGGCACATAACTTCAGTTCTCTCTCTCTCTTCCTCTCTCGTCTCTGTTTTATCTCATCCGAATTTAATTTGGCCTTGATGCGCCTACGCCGCGCCTTAATTTGGTATATAGCCAAGCGCATCATCTCAATGGAGAAGCACCCAAACAGAACGAGAGAAGGAGAGAGAGAGAGAGAGATCGCGTCTTGAAGCAACAAGATGTATGAGCCCTTTTTTTTTCATTTATCTAAGAGACGAGCTTTTTTCGCTTCTTGTTAACGAGAATTGCTGCTCTTATTACGTTTACGCGTACTCGAGATATTGGGCTGCTCTTTATTTATTTTTATTTTTTTAACCAAACCGCACGGGATGCGTGGGCTCGTTAAAATCCAATGCAAATGACGTGACTGCAATTACGCATGGTAGATATAAAGACGCACTCGATTTTGGACTCAATATCCATTACAATTTTCGAAAGAGGCGCTTGTACGCACGCTGCGGACAGAATCAACCTCGAAGAGGATACGAAACACATACAAAAGTAAGAAATTTGTTGAAATAATTGTCCCTGTTAAAAATGCTCAATATTTTACGACTAGATTTTGACCAATAACAAAGTTGATTGATTGTGAAAGGGATATTCAATTTGGGTCCGTAATAATCAAAAATATATTGTTTTTTAAATTCAATAAATAATGCTTTATGATTTAATGATGAATTACTAATTAATGACATTTACTCTTAACTATATGGTACTATTTCAAGCCTCTCCCACTAGATGGCGAGTATCTTTATCCGTAAATCTGCAAGTGGCAAAGAGAACATAAATGTATAACAATGGTTTAATGACTAAAAATGATCATACTAGCTGTTGGTTAGGATCAAGCTAATTATTCGAGTGTGTTATCCAATCGTCATAAATTAAGCTCTGGCGTTGATATAACTGGAAAATTCCAGTAAACACACAAACAGTGCCCAAGTCCATAATAATTGTGTACTTTTCGGTTCAACTCGCAATTCTCGCGACTGCGTCGACCTTATATTATATATATCTATTCATTCAACGCGATGAATTAAATGTGCAGGAAAACTCGCTACTCCATGTAACATACGCGCATCCAAGCACGACTCAGCTTTTGTGCGAAAGAGTGTGAAAATTGGATGCGAATTGGAATCGAGCTCAGCAGCAACAGCAGCAGCAGCAGGGCCAAATACGACGCAAAGCTCGCGCATTTGTTCATGACGTAATATCGCGCTCGAGATAGGGCTCGGAGAAATATTCCGTGCGCGTAAGCACGAATTTTGCAAAAATACATAGGTATACTAGCGCGACGTATAGGTAATCTCCGGCACATCTATATGCCGGGCTGCCGAGGCAAGCGCATTTTTTTCTCACGAAATATATACATTTATCCTCGGTGCGGCTTCGCGTGCTCTCGAGTAGTCGCAAATTCGTCGGCGATCAATAAAAAGCACGCGTGTGCACGAGTATACGTGGCGTGTACCTACCCTCGCGCGCGCGACATATATGTACGCACCCACACACACACACACACACACACACACGAGCGTACGGTGAGTCGCGGCACACGTGCGCCCATACATTTACGAGGCGAGCTGCTCCTCTTCTCTTCGCTATATACATTTACGCATTTACGCGTACGTTTATATATATGCGGAGGTAGACGCGAAGCCGGGGCACAGTAACGAGGGAGGGAAAAAAAGCACGAGCCCTCCAATACACATTGTATTTTCTCTCTCTCCCTCGCATATAACGTATATATATTCTATAAATGTAGACGAAAGTACATTACACGCAGCCGCTCCCTCTCGCGCGTTTTTCATCTTTTCCTTCGCTCGCACACACACAGTAAGCTTCGAAGCTCTGCTCCACGATATATACATGTATAGCGCTTTTGTGCTGTGTTCCGTAGCGTGCCGCGGTGGCAAAGCCCAAGCGATTGAGGCGACGTTCGCTGGAAAAACTCGCTCTTCCCGCGACTATATAGCATCAGCCGCAGCCATCCGCAACAGCTCGAGCCGGGAGACGGATGCGCGCCTGTCGCATTATATGTCGTATATATTTATAAAAACCAAGTCCCATCGCGCGAGGGATGAGATAGAGCGAGAAACGCGACTTTGCATATACGTATATATACAGCAGGATGTACGTCTATATACAGGCATATTGACGCGCATCTATATATATAACGCACATAAAAGGAGCAGTATTCGCGGAAGATGGAAGAGTAAAAGAAAAAAAAGCAGGCGAGCTTGCGAGATAACGAATGGCGGTACGCGCGCGACGATGGAATATCCGATCGTACGGGGCGAATCTTATATACGATTTTGTGAATGTACATGAAATCGAATGGCATTTACGAAGTTGTTTTCGTTTTTCTTTCGCATATTCATCCTTACGTAACGCTGAATTGGGCTGAATGTGAATTTTAATAAGAAAAGTACATAATTTAGAAAACACGTGCATACGCAAAAACTTTTAAAACGCGTTAGAGATTTTAATTTTGGAGCGATGAAGAAAAATAGCCTCTTTTTGTATTCCAGAGAATGAAAATGCTCTACACTTTTTTTACCAAGTTAGGAGTACTTTTTTCAAAAGCTTTCAATCTTACTTGACACTCGTACAAGTGAAAATTCTTGTGTTCTTATGTCTTAGAATCGATTTAATTTTTTTCAAAGATTTACTACAATTGTGTATTATAAATTTACGTCAATTCTTAGAGTTTACTAGCAGTCATATAACTTGTGGTAAATATCAAATTGAACGAATTTGATACAATAATTCACTTAATTCATGTGTGTTTTAAGCTTATTTGTTTACTTACTTACTTGTTTGTTTAAATGAACTGTGACCAATTTCACATTCGAATCGTTTACTACGATATCTCGGCTTAATAATAATAATAACAAAAAAGTCATAACAAAATGAATTATGGTTTTGAATTTTTTATTGTTCTTCATAATATTGAAGCGTATTCACGTAAAAAATTTTTAAAAATTACAGTGTACCCTTATTATTGCAGGAAGAAGTCTACATTGAGTCCAATTGTCTCGCCACAAATCTTACGCCCCTATGGTTTCCTTTGTATTTGATTTTTGTGCCTACTGAGATTATTTTGGTATCCAAATAATTTGAGACAAATATTACATTCGAAGAGTTTACCTCGACTGTGTGCCGCTATTATATGATTTTTGAGACTAATTTTGTTTCTAAATGATTTTTGACAAATTTCACATTCGAAGGGTTTGCTACGATAATGTACTGCATTTTTGTGTTCATTCAGGTCACTTTTTCGCCCAATTGATTTGTGACAAATCTCTCATTCAAAATGTTTGCTATGATCATGTATTATATTCACGTGCCTTTTGAGATGACTCTTTTCTCCAAACGATTTGTGACAAAGACCACACTCGAATGGTTTTCTCCGATTATGTACTGTATTTATGTGACGCTTGAGATGATTCTGAGATCCAAATGATCTGTGACAAATCTCACATTCAAAGGGATTTCCAAGATTATGAGCTGTTATTCTATGACTTTTGAGTACATTCTGATATCCAAATGATTTCTGACAAATATCACATTTAAACGGCTTGCTACGAAGATGTACTAAACTTATGTGAATTTTGAGGTCACTTTTTCGTCCAAATGATTTGCGACAAATCTCACATTCAAAGGGATTTCCAAGATTATGAGCTGTTATTCTATGACTTTTGAGTACATTCTGATATCCAAATGATTTGTGACAAATATTACATTTGAAGAGTTTCTTACGATCATGTACTGCCCTTATGTGTCTGATAAGGTGACTTTTAAGTGAAAATAATTTGTGACAAATATCACATTCGAAGGATTTTTTGCACTCATGTACTGCATTTATATGAACATTGAGGGTACCTTTTTTTCCAAATGATTTATGACAAATTTCACATTCATATGGTCCAATGCTCTTACTTATTCTATGGACGTGTGTATTTAAACTCGTTGCTTTTTCATACGTTTTTTGACTCATTTTACACTTGTAAAATAATTTAGGTTGAGTCCTGTTATCAAATGATTTCACAACTTTAGATCTTCCAAGTTGACGATTAATTGAAAATTGACAGTTATTATCATAATTAAATCCTTTTTTGATCAAAATTATTAGACTTTTTTCATGAATGTAATTGAACAGACATTCATTTTCTTTCTTCACAATAGGTTCACAACTTTGATACTCAGATTTGCTGACTGCGGTCGATTGAGATGGCAGTTCAGGTTTAACATTTTTGCACTCGAAATCTACGATTATTTTTTTATCTAATCTCTCGTATAACGCCATAGCCTCGTCTTCGTGTTTTAACTGTAAAAAAATTGTGGGCTAGTTTCTATTGGTCAATCAACATACTACAATTAAAATTCTCGAGCTCACCGATAACTCATGAAACGGCAATGTTTTGAAGTCCGAATCGAAAATATAATCGTCACCTGCGTTGGTCCAAGTACCGCTCGGCTCTTCTTTCACCCTGTAGGATAATTAAGGTTATAAAGGACTCGCTCAAAAATTATAATGGCATGATAAGACGTATAAAAAGTATACCTAATTACGTCACTATTGTTTTCCATCATTACTCTTTTGATCGTATGTATACACTATTATTTTTCACTATGTACACTGAAAAAATATTTTTGAGGTTATATGTCTCGAGTAGACAGAATTATACCACGATTACACCTATGCTCTTTCACACATATATCAAGTTTGTATACAGTTCCTTACCGAGGAACTCGATTTATCATTAGCGACTGAACGTATTACTGGTATATAAACGAGAAGACCCCGCACGCTGCGATAGTTAGTTTTTTATCGGCCAAACTTTACATTAAATGGCAATAACACGTGTATTCTTCGACTGTGATCCTCGAGTCTCGAACTGATAGCTGCTTGGCGATACTTTCCCCCTCTATCGACGATATCGTGCATACGCAGTAATATACGCTGTTATTGTGCACGAGTGTCGCTTTGTTTTCCGTGTGTACATTCCATCAGTAGATTTCGCGAGATAATTTATTCCAAGGATGCGCTCGTTTGAAACTTGAATTCGAGTCTATACAAGAGCAATTCTACAAATTGACGAGGCTAAAATTACGGTTGAAAATTTTGTCGTTGGTAATGAATGTGGATAATGTGACTACTTATTCCGCGTTTGACATTGCCGAATTCGTTCGAAGTTATTTTCTTACTATAGTTTGGTCAACAATTTTGTTATTCATGCATTTTTTTTACGTTTCTTGAATCTCAATGAGCAACTATCGACGTCATTTATATACGTGGCCAATAACATTCAATCTTGATTTTAGTATCGATCTCGGCCGATGAATCGTAGAATCGCTCACATAAGCAATCTCATCGCGCGATTAAAAATCTAAACGGATCCCGCTCGTAGAGCGATAAATAAGAAGGTATAGCGCAAAATAAAAGCTCACTCGGAATAGTTTTTAAAGCGAGCGTCGCTGAGAAAAAACAAGAAAAGAAAAGTACATGGGAAAAAGCCGATTATAAAATCGAAGTTTATTACATATATAGCCGCGCAGCTCGCAAGATATATAGAGGATAGTAAAGTCGCGCGCGCGTGTGAGTAGAATGGAAGAAGAGAGAGCTTAAGCTATCAGAAAACTTTTATTCGCGAACGAAAAGCTTTTCCAGCTTTTCCAGCTTTTACTACCACTACTGCCACTACTACTACTGCTGCTGGCTGCGTTCCCTGCGTACGTCCCAGGCGAGCGGAGCCCAGGAATACGCAAGGAGACTATATGTACGTATATATATTCTTAGCTTCGAATCTTCTTCTATACGACGCAGCAGCTCTATGGTGTATGCACGAGTCGCGAATCAGAGCGAGTAGTCTATAGGTATATACAGACACCCGTGCACGCGCAGCATTTCCGATGAAAAACCAGTGTGCCTCCGTGCGCACACACAATATAACGTAAAATTCGACTCTCTCTCTCTCTCTGCACTTTGCATCGAGCCGCGCGTCGACGTGGCACAGAGAAAAAGTTTTGCGCCGTCTTAGTCCCCGCACCGCTGTACCTCGTGCAAGCTCAAGATTGCGAAGAGATGTGCATAGTGTGTGGAAGCGTAAAAGCAACGCAGAAAAGTCCAGGCTATATGTGGGATGGCTCCGCCTACCTTAACGATATCTGCTCGCGGTTCAACGTTTTATCGAGAAAAAAACAACGAGCGATTGTCCAACCATTCGACGAAACGGCAATGTCATTAAATTGAATGCACGAAAAAAAATGACTGTACGAGCTTCGATCAATTAAGCATGCGGAGGGCGATCCACACGCAGCTCCCGAGGAAGAAACCCCACAGTTGTGATTAATTATGACGAGCTTATTGCGGTTCATCGCGCGTGAAAGCACGAATGCGCTATATATAGCTCGACCCCGCGCGAGAAATTCCACGCCTAATATTATCAAGTGCTTGCGGCACCTCGAGTTCATTACAACTACCGCGCGCGCGAGCGTTTAATAATTACACGGTAATAATTTCAACGCGAATAAAACTCATCCTCGCGCAAGCTCGCGTCATATACTCGGCGCGCAGATTTATTATTATACACGCGTATAACCACGCGTTTATAACGTACGCAGCTCGCTCAGAAAAAAGCAAAGAAGAAGAAAAACTGTCGGGCGGACGCACGGAATGCACGAAGATTTTTCATAGGCGCTGCGTCGGCGTTATTTTATATACGCGGAGCTCTCTCGTCGTTTCATATTGTGTACGCGTGGTGGCGAGCAGCCGCGCCCCCCTGAGGTATATGTTATGTTTTATATAAAGTACACGACGCGCGAGGAAGCTACAGTAGAGGCTCGTTTATTCACGTCGCAGCAGCAGTAGGTAGCCGTCGTCGTCGTCGTCTTCGTCCTGGAGCTCCGGTGACGGTGAAAAATTTAAATGCTCGTGTGCCTCTACCCTTGTCTCGTTGACGTTTTTACGCGCAGCCTTATACACGTACTGTATGCGTACTTACACCTGCTCAAATCCAGCGTACATATATAGCCAGGCACAAGATATATATTTATAAGTGCAGCCGCGCGACGACGAGGAGAGCCTCGAGCTAGGCGCAGGAAAGGAAAAAAGGGGTGCGCGTCACGTATACACACACTTTTCTCTATGCGTGTGCGTATGTGTGTGTGCGCGTAGACGTATGCACGACGCACGTAGCTGTACATGCAGCATGTTGTATTCTCAGTGCAGCTCGAGCAGTTTGAGCGTCGTCGCACGTGGGAACGAAGATCCAAGTAAACTCTTAGTGTGATGTTAATTTCCGAATTCGCACTTTGACTTATACAATTATGTTTACTTTGCCACTTGTAGATTCATACATAAAGGTAATCGCCATCTAGTGGTGGAATCCTCAAGTTGTATTATCGTGTTTAATGTGGTTGAAGCTGGTCGAAATTTTTCGCAATAATCAAATTGTCATTGAGAGGCCAGCAAATGTTTGTATGTATGTGTGTGGGTACGTGTATTAAACCCAGCTGGTTTGTACTGACCAAAAAACTGATTCAGCTGCATTGTACTCATCTATACAATCTTTTTCTTTCGTGGGTTTTAATTGAAGATTAATTTCATTTAGAAACAATTTCTCGACAATAAGGTTTTCTAATGCTATATATATCGTGCGAAAATTTTTTTACCACTTGCGAATTTACTATACTCCATCTGTTGATGAGATCACAAAGTTCATAATCAAATACGCCTCTTAGATTTCGATGAATCTTTTTACAATTCTGGAATATTAATCCCTTTTCGACAACAATATAAGTACTTTTTTAAACCAATAAGCTCGTGAGTAAGAATTACACAAAAACGTTTGTAATATTTTGATAAAATAATGTTATATACAGTTTATTTTAAATGCACATTAGTATGCGTTAAAGTTTTTTCACATGAACTTATAAAAACTTAAATCACACAAATTTTCTTGAATATCTAAAATTTTAATTAAAAATAAAAATCAATCGCTCCTAATGCTATCGCTGCCAATAATCTCGTGCATTTATTAGTACAATCGGCACATTAAAGTGCCAATTCTGTACGCAATCGTCAACAGGTTAAAATGACCCAATTGTGCTGTACAAAGCGAAAGTTGCAAATATGACTAATGAAACTTCGTGCGAGGCAACAGTTATGGTACTTCCGACGCGGTGTAAGTCACATTTTTCATTATCATAATAAGCCCATAAAAGTAGACAGCGCATGAATGGGCCAGCAAGTATCGCAGCCAATCGACAATCGAGCGATAATGGTCGTGTCGAGATTCGCCGAGAGAGAAGAAAAAAAGAGCAGCCACATCGGCAGTGGTACAGGCGCGCACATATATATTGAATTTGATCGATATCCCAATGTATAATAATGCGTATACGTCGCAGCGCCGCGCACAGCTCACACACACGCACACACTTGACGCGCGTATACGACAATGCAGCCCTTTTTCTCCCGTCGTGGCATTTATTATATGTTGTGTAAGTATGTAAATAGAGAAAAGCGAGCATCGAGAAAGATATATCGATGTGCGCGTGTGTGTATGTGCATTGTACGTGTACCGGGCTAGAACCGCAATCCATTGAGAGAGCGAGTGACACTGCGAGAATTGCATGCATACATATATAGGTAAGGTACACTTTAGTTATGTGCGTCTATACGGGCGGTGGCAGCTGCACAATAGCACGACGATACGAATAAACCGAGGCGCTCTCAATTAATCAATCGTCACGCCGAGGCAAGCTCTAGCTATAGCTAGATGCGACGCGCCAAGAAGCTCCCGACTTCGAGTGCATGTGTATGCGTACGTGTGTGTGTGTCTCTTTCTCATAAATTGCCATTGCATGCGCCGGATGATGTGTTCGTTCTCTCCAACGAAGGGGAATAGGCGCAAAAGACAGAACCCGATCGAGCGTATACGTATGTAGCGCCCAAAAGAGATCTCGCTGCAGGCGTACCTATATTATACAGTATGT